GGGGAAAGAAGCACCCCCTGTCCCCCACAAGCTTGACCACCAGCTTGTTTGCCCTTACGGGAAAGAAAGGCATGAAACCCCCATATTGATCTCTTACATTTCTCTCCTACTGAGCATGTGGGAAGAAATGCCCCATTTACCATTCTCTGTGCTCCTCCTTTGTAAGGGAGGAAACACCATTCCCTGCCACCCGTCCCATGCATACCTGGAGCAGGAAGAAAAAGAAGTGAACCCCCTCTCATCTTACATCCCGGAGCTGCAGCCCAGAGCAAGTCAAGACCCTGACCTAGTAACGGTCTATGGACATATCCTGATGGCAATGTTTCTTCCCTCCACCTATGAATTGCCTCAGCAGATCCTTGCCCATCTCACCCTAAGGGATTCAGGACTTCACTGGCACATTGCTTTTCTGTGCTGAAAATTGTCAGGGTTTCATCACATAACGTGTGTCCCACGGTACCACGAGAGGAACGGCAGTTTTGCATTGCTGAGACATGCAGCAGGAGGGAGAGAGTGGGATTTTCCAAAAGAGGGCATAGCACAGCTAGAAATAACTGCCTTTAAAGTGTTGACATTTTTATGTATGGAAGAGCTAACTTAGAACATTTTTAGAGGATTTTATAAATCCCTCTGAGCCCAGTGCCACTGAATTCATCATATGAGGCACCTGTTTTACAGGGAGAAGGTACACAAGAAATAACTGAATATATGGTTCTTGTGCTCTCTCAGACTTTCCCTAAATAACCCTTTTTATAACCACAGGTAGCATATTCAAAAAGCACAATGAAAAACAGAAAGTTTGGCTGGTTTTGCATTTCTGTCTTTGAAAGAGAAGTGTAGACTGCTTTAATTTAAAAAAAAAAAAAAAGAAAGAAAGAAAGAAAGAAAAGGCTGTCATATTCTCTTACATGCCCTTTCTGCATCCATGGGTGTATCTTAATATCAGTGGTTAATTTTTGCAAAACAATAAGCCCCCTTTTTGTCTTTCAGCTCTCTGCAATGGAGCTGCCAGGAGCTTTTGGATTAAGCTTTATCAGGCTTCAGTTAGGAAAGCCTCATGGAGGTTACGTAGCCAAATACAACATACAAATCAAATTATGGGAGAGATGAATGCGGAGTTGTTAAATTAATTTTGTTTGTTCCAGCCCATTGGAATGTTTTTAACATGAAGAAAATAATTCTCTGCTGTGTGGCTGGCCTGGCCAACGCTTAGGACTGTATTAGCATGCTACATTCGTCTGCGAGTGGCGAACAGGTTTTCTCCAGGCTTGAACGAGCCCTGGAAGACAAGGCTAGCCAAGATGCTGGCTTGCCCCCTGCTTTCCCCGGCGGGCTGATCTGCAGAGAAAAGACTCTGTCAAGCTCCCAGACAGCCCCACACATGGCCAACAGCTGGAAACGCCAGCTGAGGCTGCCCCGTGTCAGGCCAGAGGGCTTCCTCAGATGCACCCACGCAACCCTTCCTCTTCTGCAGGACTTTTCCATAAGGCAGGAGACAGGTTGTTTGCCAGGTTCCCAGTTCAGGTCATCCCTGACAGGAGGGTGAGGGCTGTATTTTTGACTCAGAGGTCCGAGGTGTGCCATGCTCAGGGCATCGCTGCCTGCCCCGAGGCGTGCCCACGGTACCGCAAACGAGCTCGCCTGTTGCGTGCCTCCGAGATGTAGCCCTGTGGCCCTGGCAGGGCTTTCCTGCCTCCAGGGGTCCTGGCACGGCGGGTTGCTAGCCAGGACATAGTGGCTTTGGTGTCCTGCTAGACCTACACAGGGCCAGTTCAGGTATCTGCTCAGCATTGCACTGCACCACAGAAAGACACCCTGAAAGCCTGCTCAATATTTTTATTATCCCTTAGGATCTGAATTTAAAAGAGAGCATTAATAGTATTTTTTATAGCTGAGATGCTGTTTCAGTGTGAGATGATGCTGGTTGCGTTTGGTTCTTTTTTTTTTTTTTTCTCAAGCAATCAAGAATTCACAAGCTCTTTTTTTTTTGCTTATTTAGCCTGGTTTTAAAAAAAAAAAAAAGTTGAAAAACTAAAGGTTTGTGTTTCTCTGTAGTGTGGCTGATTCAATTCAGAGGAGGATGCAAACTTCTCCCTCCCTGTCCCAACCTCTTTCTGTATTTCTGTTTGTCCTTCAGCTGCCCATTTAGCAAAATCAGTAGAGGTTCTTTAGCATCTTAAAAAAAAATTAAAAAAAAAAAGAAAAAAAGCGAGGAGCCTGTGATTCTTTTAATCTTCTTTCAAAAATCCAAGGCACACAGAGTATTGAAGGGAAAATTAGATCTCTGGAAAACGCCAGTTGTTTTATAGATGGTCAAATCATTACACTTTTTTTCTTGCCTTTCAGACATTTGCTACGTTATTATGTATCACTTTAATTAAATCATCAAATTGAATTACTGGATCAAATGGTTTTTTTATTCCATTGTGTCCTGAGCAGGTTTGGTTAAATTAATAAAACCGTATGTTTCATTTTATAAAAAAGATTTATTTTTTCCCATTCGTAAGCTGTTAAAAAAAAAAAAGGTGGCTGAACAGAAAAGGTTGGTTATTACTTAATTACATCAGGTACTGCTATGTGCCGTGGAGTAATTGGAACAAAGTCATACTAAGTCATGAAAATTTTGTAATATTTACTGTAAAATAGCAGTATTGTAAATTCAATCTCCTTTTAGCTGGCTGTGAATGAGATTTGTCCTCATCAAAATTTGTCTTGGTGAAGTCATTGGAGTCACTCAGCTGCTTAAAAGTGCTCATGACCTTCTTGGATCAGGGTAAGGGTCAGGGAGGGTGTCCTGAGCCTGTGAGTCTCCTTGGGAAATACACACTTCTTGCCTCTGATTGGCATGAGCTGTTCTGAATGGCACCAAAGCTGGCTGCAAAGAGTGGCATGGAGTAGGGGACATGACAGTTCCCTCTCCCCAGGGTGGCTTGGGGGTCCGTGTCTGAAAAATAGGTGGCTAGCCATGGTTCAGAGGGGTATTGCAATTAAGGTAGATCTCTCTGTCTCTTGTGAAGGTTACATGGTTGAATTATTTCTAAAACAATTTGATGCATGATTACTTTAAATATATAAATCTCTGCATGTCCTCCTGGAGGAGCAGGACTGGATAAGACTTATAGGTCTGGGGAGTCCTTCACCCTGGGCTTCTGTCTCTGATAGGATTTGATTAGGTGGAGAGATAAAGGCTGGTCTGGCACTTTGAAGCATAATTCTGTAATGACAAGGGGCTTCAAAGGGGGCAGTTATGATTTATTGGTGCAGTTATCAATAAACAGTGATGTCAGCGAGAATTGATCTGACTGTCTCAGCAGAAAGAGGTGAGCATGGAGAGGCATACCGAGGATCATGAAGCTCTGTAAATAGTGACAACAGTGACTACTTTCAGCTGTGCCATCTCAGCCGGGTCCTGGCTTTCTGGCATTGCCAGCAGAATGCTGTTTTGGTCCCTTCAACTCAGTGTAAATAGAAACTCATATTCATTTTGTCAATGATTTGAGGTACTGCAGGGTTTGTTTGCTTTGCTGGATCATCCTTCTGGGTTGAGCAGAAGGATCTACTGCAAAACTGCAAGATTGTCACTGCTCATGGCAGGAGGAAACACCAAAGATCTTTCCTGCCCAAGAGTATTTCTGCAATATATGTTCTCTCATTCAGGCTAGCTACAAAATGTGAGTTATAACTGCACAAATGCATTTGACAGGTATTTTTCTATTGTACTGGTAATATTGGTGTTTACAGCATTTAATCATTTTTATTTAGGAACTGTAGCTATTTCAGTAATGTAACAGCAGAGCTACATGACCAACCTGCAAGTCCAGGCATTAGGAATAGACATTTCTCCCCTTCGGTGCTGCCAGTACTCTTTAGAAGTGAAATAATGGCCAAATATACAGCAGTCACATACCTGCAGAGCACAAACAAGCTGAATGTATTGGCTTTAAATGGAAAAGTCGTATTGGGAAAAATAATTCTGCAAACAGTGTCAGCGTGATGGGCTGAGTGACACTTTGACTTTCCCAGGCAGAAGAGGCCAGCTCCTTTGCCACGGCACATGTGTTTAGGTATCATTGCAAGTGATTTTTCTTGGATCAGAGTTTATATTGGGAAAGACAATGTGAGAATCTGTCCTGAATTGTGTATTTTAAACATGATTTTTAAAGCTTGGGGGGAAAAAAAAAAATCTAAACTCTTTATGGTTGGGAGGGCGTGATGTATTTTTTCGATAGCATGTGAGTGCCATCTAGTGTTCTTCATTAGTACCCTGGCCTTTACATTTCGATGGCTTGACAAGGAGTGTTTTTCTTCAGCGGCTGCAAGTGGGTTGTGCACACTCTGCTCCTCCTGAAGCGTGCGGGCTGGGTTTGTGCCTGGGCTTGGTCTTCGCTGGATAAGTTTGGGGTTTGGTGTCTGCAGAAGCCATCAAGTGCCACTCTTCTCTGCGCTGGTGATACATTACTGATGAACGGTTGAGAATCTATGAAGGAAAATACATAGAAAGAGGAGTATAAAGTAACTTCTGCTCATGTGCAAAAATGTACTGGGTTGAGGAAATTACTTACTGACTCAATAGTGTCGCATTTTCAGAGGTTCTAACTATTTCCAGGGCCTGCAGAGCACATTGGAGTATTTACCCTCTTCATACTGTAGACTGTGGGCCAGGGAAGCTGGGGCTCAGGTTGACTGGACTTCTTAATGTTCCAGTGCAGAGCTCGTAAGTGAACAAGTTTAAGTGTACGTGCAAACGTCAGGACTGAAAGTAAGTCAAGAACTAAGCAACCTGCCTGCAGAGAAGGGATTCTCTCGCTCCCTTTACTCTGGAGAGCAGAGAGCAGCTGCAGGTGGTATTAAATCCCATTGGTCTCAGTGGATTGCAGCCTAAGCTATTACTGTAGGCATTGAGGAAAAAACCTGGCTCTGAAGAGTGAGGCACAGTTCTACCTGTTTGTTTTCTCTTGGTTATTTGCGAGAGCTTCATATTTTTTCCTTCTGTTTCTTAGCTTGCAGCACTCCCCCGGTCAACATGAAAGTGCAGCCAGTGAATAGGACAGCGTTACTTGTAACCTGGAACCAACCAGAAACCATCTACCACCCTCCGATCATGAACTACATGATCTCATACAGCTGGACTAAAAATGAAGACGAAAAGGAGAAGACTTTCACCAAGGACAGTGACAAGGACCTGGTAAAACCACAGCATCAACCCCAGACATATGCATCGAGCTATCCTTATATTGTTATTTTCTCAGTAGAAGGAAGTAGAGGAGGAAAACAGTTGTTACCTTATAGACAGGCTAGTGTTTGACTCACAATGAATTGCTATTAAAATGTTCAGCATTAGTTGAACATTGCCTAACAGACTACCCAGAACACTAGAGTGTGAATTAATAGTTTATGTGAGTGCATAAAGGACTAAATCTGTAGACACTTTTTCATGTACTGTTGCTGAGAAGCAGCTGGCTCGGGAAATAGGCTCTGAATACCTTTTGGCTTGCATTCAGCTTACAGATTTTCACATTAAAAGTCCGATCCCCCAAAATCTGTTCCTGGGCTCAGGCTTTTCACTGTGCATAGCCCCTTGCAGTCTTTGGAGCAGTTTCTGGCAGTAAGTGCTGCTAGCAGTAGGAGTTGCATGGTCAGGGCTAGAAGATTATTGCAGAGTGGCCCTGTACAAGCATGGTCTATGTGTGTCAGTGGGAGGAAAAGAGGGAAGAGCAAGACAGTTCCAGCACAGTTGGAAACACCAATCTATCTCCTCCATTTAGGATTTGATCTGCTTGTCATTCTTGTCTAAGTGGAAGCAAGTATTGTACCAGTCTTTAACATTCTCTGCATATAAAATCAAAGTGACATATTCAGGTTTGAAAGGCCTCCGTTTATTGTTAATCAAAGAAAGCCTCTAGAATAATGAAATCAGTAATTGTATATGCACATGAAAAATGCAGCAGCACAGAGTGTTATTCCTAATGACTGTTATCGTATTTTTTTTTCGAATGCACAGTCCTCTGGGCCCATTCAATCAGTTATACAATAATACTTCTCTTATTCCCTTAGATGAAGATTCTTTTACTTCATTTCCATTTATATTTTCAATTTCCCCACTAGACATTGTTATCTGGGTCACATTAGGGAACGATGTGCCTCCTGAAATCAGAAAGGAATCTATTGAAAGGCACCCAAGGTTATGATGTATTGTAACCTCTCTCTTGTCATAACTTCACGCTCTTAAGGGAGATTTTTTTTAATCAGGTATAAGGAGGAGAGCCTTAATCAGCAAAAATGAGGTGGGCACAGTGAAAGCATCCTGTTTTATGTAAAAGAAATAATTAAAAGTGCAGGGGATGTGATGGAGTGATAGCTTGGAAATAAATTGCAGTGAGACCCTGTGCTGTGCAGCAGAGCTTGGAGGTTAAGAAAGCAATGACAGCTTAGTCTATTTTAGGGGCAAGAGAAGAAGGAAACTCTTTTTCAGAGGAAAGTGCAATTTGCTTTCAGTGCTCTGGCAGGGGCAGTTGGGCTGTCCCATCTTGAAAGCAAGCTAGACAGGTCGCTGGTATTTCAAGTGACCCACACAGCTACTGCTGCTGTCTGCTGCAAGGCATGAACTGATGTGATTGTGGACTAAGGCAACTCAAAAGAGTATCTGGAAGGCAGCAGGGCAGTGTTTCAGGTCTAAGAGTATGCAGGGACATCCCAGCCCAGGGTGCTGAGACATCATGTTATACAGGCCACCAGCATCAAATTGCCATAGCCAGTTCGGTGCAAAATAAATAGTGAGTTTGAACGTGCAGTGACCTTCCTGGGCTTATCTCATGTTTGGGACTTGGATCTCTACCTAGAAAAATCTCATTTTAATTCCTGTAAGGTCGAATGATTTGAGGTTTAAGTTTTTCTGAGGAGAGCAGAGACTTCGGGGCATGAAGACTGTTGTGAGAGTAGATGTGGGACGTGCCCATTTCTTTCTCATGGGCAGTCAGCAGAGTCTGGGTGCATCACTTTGTCCTTGCCCTCTCCCAGGGGACCACTGAATATTTCTGTTTTGAAGTAAGTTTGTCTTACATGGCATAAATGTCCTGTGTTAGCACAATGCTTTATATATTTCAAACTGATCGTGGACAGTACTGTGGGGGTAAAAAACTGAATAATATCTATTTTTTTTAAACAGAAGGCCATCATTAGCCATGTCTCACCTGACATCCTTTATCTGTTCAGAGTTCAAGCAGTTTGCCGAAATGAAATGCGTAGTGACTTTAGCCAGACTATGCTCTTTCAAGGTAAAAAACCAACATAAATATTTTTACATTAAATGAATTTGTCTGCTTAACATTTTCTTTGTAGAGTGCGGTGTGGAGTGATTTCAGAAGATGCTTGAATGCGTGTAGACACTGCTAATTTCAGATTGTGGCCAGTGACTTTATCAGAGTCCTGTTTCTAGCGATGGGGGTTTGCCTACACCTCTCTGCTGGCAGGGTTCGTCAGATTTTAGGAGAATTCAGAGCTTTTCTTGGTACTAGTTTTCTAAAACAACTCCATCAGAGACTGCTTATGTATCAGAGGCACAGCTATAGCAGGATGTGAGTCTGATTGGTGTCTGTTTTATGTAAAGAGGAAAGGAGATCAGTCCTACCTTGACAACCACATGTGGAGATGTTCTGGTCTTACCACGCATGCAATGTCAGTGATTTCCAAAACATACATATTTAAATGAAAGCAAAAGAACTGGATGCTAAGCTGTGCTTTCGCATGGATTTCCTTTTAAAGTTTGTTGGAGAAATCTGGTAATGCTGAGATTTGGTAGGAGAACTTGATGCTTTTTGGGTTTCTTAAGTGCCAAAGTTTTGCTCTTTCCTGGGAATTTATTAGTGCTTTTTAAATTAATTTTAGTAATTAACTTAGTACTTTTTAAATTCACCTCTGCTGAGAGCACGCCCTCCCGCTCCACTTCACAGATATATAAACCTCGGAATGGGTAATGGAAGAACAAAACAAGCAGAGATTTAAAATTTTAAATCCTTAAGATGAAGCAAAGAGTTAAGTCACTTGGGTCTGATGGAACAGAGCCACAGTATGTGAAACAAAATAATAGAGGCATTTTTCAGTGTGATTTGTGGCAGTTTCAATCCTACTCTGTTAGCACTTAGCATCTGAAGGATATCAAGCTGTGGACACAATTTAGTTCTGTTATAGTGTCATGCTACCGTGTTAGCAGCATTACAGAGGGAGCAGGGAGCAGACAAGAAATGTCCTATCCAAGCAACATCTCATATGTAGCTCTGTTGTAGCACAGTGTTTTGGACTTCACTTTAAGTGCCAGGCAGAAGTCAGAAACTTGTATATTGCTGATTATGGTCCCTTTCAGCAGATAATAGAATGGAAAAATTATTTGAAATATGACCACGATACCCGTTTAATTACAGCTGAGACTAAATCATTATTGACAGTTTTGCCAGGCACTCTTTGTGTACTCTATGCCAGTGTTCAAAGCAGTGGAGGCGATACACACATCGGCAATGGGAGTAGATGTTGTGTTTCCTTCCTCCCCCAAAAGGAGCTGTTCTCCTAATCTTTGGCTGCCCCCAAGATCTGACCTAGAAAAAGAATCCACTTGAGCTTTCAAAGCATTCTTCAGAGGCTGCTTATAGTTGTAGTTGAGCTAAATAGCAAGAAATAATATTATCATAAAGGCAGGAAAAAACTCTCTGTTGTCATCAGCTGCTCTGGCTTCCTGTGCCAGTCAGGACATTTCACCCGACTTGGGTTTGAAGGACAGCTTGTGTGTTCTGACAGTGCACTTAAACCGGCATTGCCAGGCCTGAGTCAGTAGAGCCAAGTCCAGAGTCAGGTGAGTAACCCCAGGGGAGCGGAGGAGCCGGTGCTCCGAAGCGACACCCGCGTCGGCGCTTTGGTAGCAGCGACGTTCGGCGGTTGTTGAGCGTTCTCCTCCCTTCCCCCTCCGCTGACCCGCTGCTGTTCTTTGTTTCTCAGCTAACACCACTCGAATTTTCGAGGGGACCAGAATTGTGAAAACAGGAGTGGTAAGTCCCGGCCGTGCCTCGCGGGGGAGCGGGGCGGGTGCCCACCAGGTGGCAGCAGGGGGCTGGAAATCCGCGCCAGGGCCGGGGGGGCTCGGTCGGAGCCGCCACGGGGGGGGTTTGTAGCGTGCCCGAAATATTGGAGGGGTTGGGGTTTCGAGCTCCGTGCCCTGAGAGGCTTTGACCACTGGAGTGTTAAAAAAATCTTCCCAAGTATGTATTGAACTCGTTTCGAGCGGATTTGTAGTCTTAATGGTGTCTGCGGAAATACATTTCGTTTCTTTTATTAACTGTGTGACCAGAAGTGTATGCAACAGGAATAAGGCTTCACGCACAGCATCTTTGCTCTTCCAGTGCTTTAAGGATGCTTGCTATTGTGTGAATAAAGCCTTATGGGCTCTTTGTTTTAATATTTATTCAAGTGAGACTGTAATGAGTCACTGAAGCTGACTTTTATATACCAGAATCAGAAATGTTGATACATTTGCAGTAAAACTGGAGCACGCCATTTCAGTTTTGAAAGCACCTGAGTAGGTTATTTAACATAAACTATCCATAACCTAAATTTCTTGGCATTTGGTATACTGAATTATTCAGTCAAATTTATGGTCTGAAGTCATACTGTGGAATTTATTCTAAGTACATTGCTTCTGGTTTTATTCTGTTCCAATTTGATGTACTCCCTAGTAAGCAAATAACACATACAAAGCTTGAATTTGAATGATTAATGTTTGTTTAATGATGTATAGAGGTATTCTAGACATATAAAATCTGCTGTCCAATTTTAATACTCAGTCTAGCTTTGAGAGTGTACATGCCAGCAAAAAGCAAATCTCACAGTGCCTTAGGGATTCACACTGATAAGTATCTGAAAGTTTAGATGCTTATTTAAAGTTTTGGCTTGAAATCTCTAAAGCACAGGTTTTCTTCTGAGATCTCAGGTTCTCTGTGATTGCAGCTGGTCAAAAGTGACGTGAGAAAGCAGCCTTTGGTTTGCTGCAGCATTTCAACTGCTACACCGCCTGACTGAAACCAGGAATTGCAGAGAGATGCAGAAATACTGTTGAGTTCTAAATTTCAGTTCCAAAAAGAAACATTTTACAGTTTTGTTCAACATTCAGTAGCACCTATTTAACTTTTGTTTGTCCTTGTCTGATGCATACCTTTCCATTTAATGTTCCTCTTGCTGATGAATTCAGTAATGCGAGACCTTTTTCAGAGAGGATCGTGGTCAGGTTGTCTGGGCAGAACTGTTGACCTGGCTCTTCCACAGAGTTACTCTTTGTCCTTAGTCAACTCACTTCAGTGTCTTTTTCCACATGTGAGTCAAGAAGGGGGAATGACTTGTCTAGTTCTACAGCCAGGGTTTTTTATTTACAGTACAGCATACACATCTGTGCACAGAGACCCACATGCAAACATGCGTGCACTGGGTTGACATTAGAATACCAGGGGCAGGGTGCAGAGGAGTCCATGGTTCATCCTTGCTTCCTCTCAGCTCCTCGAGGGAAGTGGGCAGTGCCAGCCCTGGCTCTGGGTCACTGGTGGTGGCCAGGGAGAGCCCTGGGGCTGGGGAAAGCTGAGGCTGTACATGGGTGCCACAGCCTGGTGGTCCTGTTAGAGGTCGTGGTGACTTGCTGAAGGGCTGCTGATGCTCGTGTTCTTCAGGAGGGCCCAGCTGGCCATGCTGCAGGTCTTTTCTAACGAGAGCAGTGCCTCACTGCAGCAGCCGTCCTCAGGAGAGTAATGCTGGTGGGTAAATTAAGGTAATAAAAATAGTACCGTTCGAGGCCCTCACAATGTGTGTGGGAAGAGCCAGAATTCCCTGTCAGAGCAGACCCACCAGCCACGAATGCTCACGTTGGCAGCACAGCCCTTATTTTGGGACAGCCCTTATATAACGCTGTATTTTTAAACTTCCGTATTCTGAGGATTAAAGCACTGTAAGTCATGCAGCTAAACTCATTAAACTCCTTTACATCCTCCTCACCCCTGAGAGAGAATGTTACTCACAAGCGACTGGTGATGTGGGTGGAGAAGGTCCCACTGTAAAACAAGGATAAAGAGTTTTTTGGTGATAATGGTTGTTCGAAGTGGTGAATGCAGGGAGGTTTCCTCTCTTTGTGGTTTGCCAGGTAACTCTGTGGCATGTCCCGTTCCTGGCTCGGCCCTGCATCCAGGTGGTGTAAGTCTCTCATTTTAGGAGAATAGCAACCACAATAGCATGTGTGTGGAAAGGGAGGGAAAAGCAAAAGAAAAATGACCCCAGGTAGCATGTCGGGGCCCCTGCTGATGGTCTCTGCTGTGTTTTCTTCCCCTCTGCTGCCGGTGACTTCCTCAAGCCCACAGCATCTCCTGCCTCCTCAGCTGACATGGCTCCCATCAGCTCCGGCTCCTCCACCTGGACCTCCTCGGGGCTCCCCTTCTCCTTCGTGTCCATGGCCACAGGGATGGGGCCTTCCTCCAGCGGCAGCCAGGCCACCGTGGCCTCAGTGGTGACCAGCACCTTGCTGGCAGGGCTGGGCTTCAGCGGTGGTGGCAT